ACATTCTTTGTATAATTTCTTTATAAAGGTTCTATAGATTCTGACAGTGCAATTAAGAGAGTACAACTATATTTTAACAATTACAGACCATCTTGTATACTTTCCATAAATATTTTTTGCACCCCAAATTAATGTTTTCTTTTTGAATTAATTGATGCAATTCCTAATAAACTCTCTTTTTTAACATTTTTCTAACTATAGTATGTTAAAGTAATACTAAGCTTATTTGTTTGGATATCTTTTTTTTGCAATTTCATAGAATTTATAGTAGTTTTAGTTAGAATTTGATCTGAGAGTGTTTTACAATTTGGTAATTTGATTGCAGGATTTATATAATAAAAAAGCTTTTTAATTTTAGGGTTATCCATCTATGAAAAAGCTCAGCCACAAGAAATAGTCACTTTTAAAAATAATTTTTCAAGTTTTTTCTTTTGCTTGCTTGATAATAGTTTTTGAAAATAATCATCTAATGTTATATTTAGGCCCAATTGGTCTGGATCTGCCAATTGAGCTCGTTTATTTGAATTATTATTACTAGACATCTCTGTAATATATTAATTAAAATTAGATATATATTATTAACTAGAGATATGCTATGTAAGTATTATATATACAGCACACTATATATATACAGTATACATAAAAATTTTTGCTAATCCTTTCTACAAGCCAATCAAATTACTAAATATGCACTATACATACTACATATTCTAAACATATTGTTTATATAAATAGCACATCTATAATAATGCTAATAAATTTAATACTTTCTATAACCTTGTTCACTTTTACTTTTTTGAGAATTATTATCTGTCGATATTGGATTTAAAATTTTATTGCACTCTATTTTGTTAGGATATTTATAATAAAATGTTAGCAAAAGATAAGATGACACTTGCATTCTTGCTGAGTATTAGTAATTCGGGTTTCAAAAGCTTCATCATATGTAGAACTTTTAATACAAAATTTGCAAACTGCAAACTTATTATATTTATTAGCTTTTTTATCCAAAATAATAAATAAATTAGTTAGTCTATGTGGTTTTCTGCCTTTGTAAAAATGTAAATTAAATATCAAAAAACAATAGAAAAAGGCTATTATATAAGAAAGAAATCAAAAAAATGAATTGTAGTTATAATCATTGTTGTTGTTTTTTCTTTGTAAATTTTGGTATATACATTGTATATATACAGATTGGTTTACATTAATATTGATTTAAAAAATCATTTATCACTTGGCAAGCTTATTATAATTTTACTTTATCATATCAGATATACACAAATTAGATAATAACTCTGAACTGTATATGAATCGAAGATAGTAAAGTAATTGTAATAATGCCCATTATCTAATTATAATAATCACACCATCTAATCTTTACATGAATTGAAATTATTAAAATATAGTTGTACTCTCTTAATTGCACTGTCAGAATCTATAGAACCTTTATAAAGAAATTATACAAAGAATGT